TGTTATCTTGTCAGTCTGTTTGTAATCTCCCTTAATCCTGCGGCCAGTTGTTATTATTAGTGTTTGTTCGTATATTGGTGTGCGTGTCGATATGTCTGTTTGGCTATGTGCAATCATACGTTCATGGTGTCACGGTTATGATATATGCCATTTGCTACACATGTATTTGAATGGGTGATATGTCATTGTCTTTAAGGTCCCTCTCCAGAGTTCGTCCGTCCGTCTAAGGATGGTAAAATGTCCTGAAAATTAACCCGTAAGACAGTCTCTGATGCACGTGTTAGGTCAGGAGGTGTACGGTACATCTGTAAGCTCAATTTCTTTTTTTTTTAACGTACTTGACACAAATTTTCGTAATATAAGTGTGGAAGCTAGAACGAAAACAGAGGCTGTAGATTTGTTGGCAACGTTCACTTACATTTAGTTATGTTTGTGGAAATACAGAAATATTCAGTGTATAGACAAATACAAAATGACATCTATAAAGACTCACGAATGCTCTTGGTCAACACCACAAAATCGACAGTCGGAGCTCTTGCCTGCACCACAAGTACCAGCTAAAATAAAAAAAAACACTTAGTTTTTGAAGTAGAGCTACATGAAGTAAACATTACAGAGTATATACAAATAATTGAATGTTTCGCGATTCTATAAAGAACTTTTTTTATGAGAGAAGGTGCCAGAGTATTTTTCATTTTTGTTTTCGTAAAGGAATGCGGATTTTAAGATTGAACAATGATTTTTTATTTTCAATCTGTTGATAAAACATTCAGCTTATGGTAATAACTGAGGATTTAAGAACACTGTTTTTATCCATGACAAGATGTGTCTCAGTAAGATATGAAGCAATTGTACATAAATTAAAACTTTAAAATAATGACATACAGTACTTCAACAGTATCCGGATTTCAAAAAGTTTGCTGTTGTGAGAAAATAATACAGGTACTCGTTAGTCTGACAGTTGACGCACTTAAATCTAAAATTACATATGGACCCATTCTGTAAATCAATATTGCTTGTTTAAAAAGATAAAAATGAAACGCTGCTTAAAATGTAGTTACGTAGTTTATATCCTGCTATATAACATAGGCAAGATTCTGACGTGGATTAACAACTGACTCGAAAACAGACAACAAAGAGGTAATAAATGGAATATATTCTGAATGGAAAAAGGTACTCAGTGGAGTACCACAAGGCTCTATCCTTGGACCCACCTTGTTTGTGATCTACATAAATGACACAGATGAAAATATATCGAGCCACATTGTCAAGTTTGTAGACGATACGAAGATATTTGGGAAGGTAGCAAGTCAAGACGATATCGCAACAATGCAGGATGACCTGAATGAGCTGTTTAAATGGTCTCGAGACTGGCAATTTGGCAAATGCTCTTTAATATTACGAAATGCAAGACCCTAAACTTAGGAAACAATCCATAAGCACAACTATTTTATTAATAACAATTTTCTGGATACTGTCGATAAGGAGACAGATCTAGACGTTGTGATAGATCATTCAATGAAGGCGTCGCAACAGTAAGAAAAGCAAATCGAGATTTGGGTATTATAAAGCGTAACTTTGAATACAAAGACAGGAAAATGATCCTTCAATTGTACAAATCTCAAGTATGTTACAGTCTGGATTACTGTAATGCAGGCCTGGAAACCCCACCTCCCCAAAGAATCTCACATCCCTAGAAAAGGTACAACACAGAGCGACTAAGATGATTCCGGAAATGTCATCTATCCAAGTAGACTAAGGGTCTTAGGGCTAACAGCCCTTCAAACAAGGCAGAATTGGGCAGATCTCATTGAAACATTCACAAAGACCGGGACATTTCTTTGTGATGTCACGAACCACCAACACGAGAGAGCATAACTACAACCTCGCCAAATTATCATGCAGAATGAATATAAGGAAATATTTTTTTTCACAGAGGCTGGTAAACTTATGGAACGGTCTGCCAGCCCAAGCTGTAGAATCAAGAATAGTACTGGGCTTCAAAATAGCCCTTGATAAAATTATCAATGACACTGGAAGGATCCTACACAGGCCACTGGCCTCCCTGCCTCGGCGTGGCTACCTCTAATGGGTGTCCATTAGGTAAATATATCAACTCCAATGTTTTCTTACCATCACCATGATGACGGAGACGATCAACAGCGATGTGAAGGACGATCTTTTGAACATGATGGGTGACTGTGTTCGTTGTTCACCAATGTAAGGATGGTGTTACATGAACAGTCAGCTACGAGTCAGGAGCACCACTGGATATCTGCTCGAATAAGAAGGTCGGTTGGCAGCCGCAACAACAAGTGTTGCCAGAAACTTCTCATTGTTCAACTCAAAAATTCTAATTGTTATCTGAAGAAACAAAAGACCGATCCTTGATAATGCTGATAGTTGAAGATCATCAATAATAATAATAATAATAATAATAATAATAATAATAATAATAATAATAATAATAATAATTGTAATAATAATATGACCGCTCTTCAAGCCTTGGTAATCCCCGTTCTACCTGGCTGATTGCATAACTTTTCTTGGGTGTTGCAATTACTATATGTTGCAACACTGAATTGTTCCTTTGTTTTGTCCGTAAGCAGTTTTGATCACACGTGCAGACACACAGTAAGGCAGATCAACACATAAGGCCTCTGTTGACAGTTGTAAAGGGAGAAGGGGCTATGATCACATAATACAGGGTTAAGCAGTTGTCGCTGTTGGTGTCATGTGATAGGTCATTATGTGCTTCAAGTTATGTATGTAATGTTTATGCATTTAAGTTAAATAGAATTAAATTTGACAAAAAATCTTCCTTAATTTCCAATAAAATTCATAAAAAAAACATTAATATTTTCTAATGTGGTACTGTACTGTACAATCAATGTGACCAATGTAAACTATATTATAGTAGGTGTAATCATAAAAGTACAGTAATCAGAATTCGTGGAAATATTAGTACCAGTAATCATAATAATAATTAAAAAAAATAAAGTTTATGTAATAAAAATGTTCTAATCATAATTAAAATTCAGAATATTCACATTTGGACTACATAATCTTACATATAATAAAAATATAATAATTGAATATTTTAATCGTAAGCAATACTGTACAGTAATTGTAATAGGACTCCTGTAAAACTGTATATCTTCATTGTCTTTATGCATACTCAGTTAGTGTAAACATAAATGGCTATACAACTGCTAGGCATGGGAACATATCGATAAGTCGAGACACAACGATTTGCCGAAAGGGACACATCTAATGTACTATGGGAATGGGTCGCTCTCGACTAGCCCTCCGTTCACATTATTTACTTACCTATCTCATTTAACTAATGGCCACTCCACCTAGAGGTGGTAGTTTTGTCCAGGGCTTATTTGAAGCTCAGTGCTGGTCTCGCTTCGAAGGCTTGTGCTGGTAGACTGTTCCAACGGTCTAAAACCCTGTGAGTGAAAAATATTTCCTTACATTCGCCCTGTCTGACACCTTGGCGAGCTATAGTAATGTCGTCTTGTGTTGGTGGCGTGTGAAAACACACACAAAAAACTGATCTGGGTTTACGTTTTCCATCCCTTTAAAGATTTTTAATAACTCAGTGAGATCCACCCTATCGTGCCTTATCTGAAGAGCTGTGATAATCCTTAGACCCTCAGACTCAGTCTACTTTGACAATGGAGATGGTGTAGTGCAGACATAATCTAGCTTTTCTATTCGAAGGTACAACTTATAATTTCCAAATTTAATTTTCTTTCACTTTTTTCACTATTGCGGTGCCTTCAGTAATAGTGTATCATGACGCCTAGATCTTTTTTCCTTATTAGCATTTTTAAAGAAAGCATTAGTTACAGAATAATTGTGGTTCTGGTTGCAGGTTCTTATATTTTACTGTGCTAAAAAAATAACTTGCCAATCCTGCGACCATTTGAACAGTTCGTGCAGATCTTTTTGCGTGGTTGCGGTATCTTCTTGACTTGCTACCTTTCCATATATCTTACTGTCGATAACAAACTTAATTATTTGGCTCTATATATTACAGGCATAAGGATAGAACCTTTTTTCAATCTGAATGTACTTCGTTTATGACCACTCTTTGTTGCCACTCCGGTATTTTGCCTGTGTTGCTTTGTGCTTTGAACTTGAGGCTAAGCTGTGTATGTGTTTGTCAAACATATTTTAAAGATTCATGTAATCCTTGGTTCAAGTAGTCAGTTACTGTTTCAAGGAAAGTGGGTAAGTTTGTCAGACAAGATTTTTTCTCCATGAAAACATTTGTATTTTTTTATCATATTCGTCACTTATCAGCTTACTAGCCGTTTTGGCGGTTTATCCTGTGTTAGTACAGGAGGGAACCTGTGGTGTTTGGTAGTGAGGGTCACACTGGATAACACCCTTCTCACGTGTGTCCGAGCCGATGCTACCACTCTCTATCATACATGAACCTATTTAGCCTCCTTTTGAAACTTTCCAGCGTTCCAGCACTTAATACAAAGTTGCTAAGCTTGTTCCACTCGTCCACCACCCTATTTGTAAGCCAGTTCCTTCCTATCTCCCTCCTACACCTAAACTTATACAACTTAAATCCGTTGCTCCGAGTCCTATCCTGCTCGGATATTATATGAACTTTATCTGTATCCCCTTTATTGATTCCTTTCACCCACTTAAATACTTCTATCATATCTCCCCGCACTCTTCGTCTTTCTAGGGAATGCAAGTTTAGTTTCTTTAACCTATCCTGATATGGAAGGTTTTTAAGTCCCGGCATCATTTACGTCATTCTTCGCTGCACCGACTCTAGTGAATTGATATCCATTCTATAATAGGGGCACCAGAGCTGAACCGCATAATCGAGGTGCGGCCTGACTAGCGCAAGATATAGTTGCAATAAGACCTCTGCACTCTTGTTACTTACCTTTCTAGATATAAAACCCAATACTCTGTTTGCCTTATTTCGAACATTAACGCACTGTTTTCTAGGCCGTAGGTCCGGGCTTACAAGTACCCCGAGTTGGCTTATACTGGGCAGTCTCTATTTTACCCAACCCCTATTGCCTATGTATCCATCCAACCTATGTTTGAAGCTATCCAGCGAATCGAGTTAATGATGATATGGTAACTTGTTTACCTATTTCGCGCCTAAATCTAAATTTGTCTAATTTAAAACCATTGTTACAAGTTCGCTCCTGTTGATATAGTTTGAGTACTTTTGTAATGTCCCTTTGTTCAGCTTGACCTCATTTATACACCTCGATCATATCGCCTCTCACTCTACGTCTCTCGAGGAGTGCAAATTAAAAGCCTTAACCTGTCTCTGTACTCAAGGTTCAATGCCCGGATTAGTCTTGTCATTCTTTCTCTGAATTTCTTTCCAGGATTCTATATCCATTCTGTAATACCGTGACCAGAATTGAACAGGTAATCCAAGTGATCTCAACAAGCGCACGATATAGTTTCAAGATGACCTTGCTAGTCTTGTAACTAATACGCCTTTGTATGAACCCAAGTTCTATTAGCCTTGTTTCGAGCAAATACACACTGTTTATCGATAACATTCCACTTATCATTACTCCTAAATCTTTCTCGCAGTCGGATTTCTCAATAACATCGTTGTTCACCTGGTATCTGGTTTCCTGTTTACATCTCCTATACTGAGTACTTTCTATTTGTCCACATTGAATCTCATTTGCCATTTTCAGACCATCTGAATTTTTTTAGATCTTCCTGTGTTTTGCAGTCATCGTCAGATTTAATTACACCCCTATTTTAGTGTCATCAGCAAATTTACTTTATGTTGCTGCCACGCAGATATCTATGTCGTTTATGTATATCATATATAATAATGGTCCAGGTACTGAGCTTTGGGAACTCCACTAGATGTTGTTCAATGATTTAGTTAATGCCACTCTCTTCGTCCGTAACCACGCCTTAATCCATTTTAGAATATCTTCTTTAATGCCATGAGCCTCCACTTTTTTATTAGTCTTTCGTGGGGACTCTGTCGAAGCTTTGCTAAAGTCGAGATATACCACATCATAATTGTGCCCTCGTCCACTGACTCGAAAACAGATGAAAAGATTGTTAATAGATTAGTTAGACATGATCGCCCGCTTGTGAAGCCATGTTGGGAATCATTGATCAACTTGTGCTTCTCCAGGTGATTTCGAATAGAGTTTGAAATGATTGCTTCAAGTAATTTGCCAACAATTGATGTTAGACTGATTGGTGGTAGTTAGAGGATAGTGATCTATCTCCATTCTTGAAAATCGGTATCAATTCTATCCTCCAGGATTCTGGTACTACACCCGTTTTAAGGAT